CTTTGCTCTGAAGAATATAGATGCTTTTATTTTAGCAGATCGTTAACTTGGTTAGGCTTAAAGTGCACTCAACATTGGCTCAGATTTTAGTTCACTACTTTTACACTTAAGCATAATAAAATGCATGTTTGCCTCGTGTATTTGAGATATAGGATTTATTCAAAGACAGATTGAATTTAAGCAGAATTTGGGTGTCTGTTCTTGGCTTCCTTCTTTCTGATTGCCTTATTTTTTTCTCTTGGTTCTTGTGACCAGAAAGATAGTTATACAGAAAATGGGACACTCAGCCAGCATTGGCTGAGAGGTTGAGCATTGACCTGTGAACCAGGAGGTGATGGTTTGGTGCCAGTCAGGGCACATTCCTGGGTGGCGGGCTCAATCCCCAGGGTGGGGCATGCAGGAGGCAGCTGATCAAGGATTCTCTCGCATCATTGATGTTTCTTTAAAAAAATTTTTTTTCTTATTGATTTCAAAGAGGAAGGGAAAGGGAGAGAGAGAGAAACATCACTGATGAGAGAGAATCATTGATTGGCTGCCTCCTGAATGCCCGCTACTGGGAATCAAGCCTGAAACCCGAGCATGTGCCCTTGATGGGAATTGAACCTGGACCCTTCAGTCCACAGACTGACCCTCAAGTCAGCTAGGGCTCATCATTTCTATCTCTCCCTCTCCCTTTCTCTCTGAAATCAATAAAAAACATATATATTTTTAAAAGCCACAGAAAAGGGCAAATTCACACTGCATGTTGATTGCCTGCACCAGGTTCTGAATCTCTTCTGAAATCTGCCTGCCATTGATACCCAAACTCTTAGGTGGTAGCTTTTTGTATTTTATCTAGAGTTTATAGCTATTATTTATGGGAGGACCAGTTTGTACTCCGTCTCTTAGAAGCAGAACTCTGGACATCTTGTAATGATACACTTGTTGCTTTATCTTCCTAGCTGGACCCAAGTTTGGGTGCCAATAAATTTATGAAATTAATGAATTGCATTAAGTATCTAAGGACGTTTCCCCCTTTCTTGGTGGTTGAGAAGATGTAGGTGCAATAGAAACAACTTAAAAATGACCGAAGTATTATAAATTTGTTGACTTATGGGACAAATGCCAACTTTTTTTCAGATTGTCAATTACTTTCAAATTTTTAGGAAAACTAATATAGATGATTATGCCCCAATTCACAAATCTTGTGTCTTCAAGACCTCTTTACATACTTACAATTTGTAAAGACCTCAAAAACTTATATTTATTGATAATGTCTAGGTTAATAAAAGATCAATAAGTTTTCACCTTTACTTCTGCAATCTATCTATTGTGATATCACAAATCTGGAACACTCCACTATATACAGTTAAAAGAAAATGAGAGTGAAAAAAGAGATAATGGCTTAGTATTATGAAAAATATTTTTGATGTCAAAGACAATAAAACAGTCTTAGGAACCCTAATTATTTGCTGGACCATGCTTGGAGAACTTTTGCCTGAGGCTTTTTAGCTCAGAAGGGGTCTATGAGAACAAAATTGTTTCCTTTAATATATCATTAGTCTGTCATTCTAAAAAGAACTTTTAACCTTGCCCATTACTATATCTGTGAAGACCCATATTAGGAATATGTGTGTTTGCAAAGAGATGAATTATCTGTGATTTTTCAGGTCAGTGTTGTATAAAAATATTAAAATCCAATTAAAAGTGATTCATTGGAGATGCACATTTGAAATTAACTATACTTGGAGTAAACAGATAAATAGAACGCACAAACCCATTAGAAGACACTTATGGAACATTAAGCTACGTGAGCACTTGCCTTAGATGCATTAGAAAGGATCAGAATCAGATCCCATCTGGTCAGGGTTTGTTTACTCATCAGAAATTAAAGCCAACAATCCTGGTTTTGAATGACTTGATATATTTTTGTAAATGGGCCAGTTTTTGCACATGGACCATAATACAAACACATCATACATATGCCTTCCAGTATTTAGATTAACTTGTACCCTCAGTTCTTTTATTTTAGAAAACATATCCTAATTGTGTGTGTATTCTGGAGTAGCAGAGCAGATTGGCATATCTCTGTGTTCTCTGAAAAGCTGTTTTTTTTTCTTCTTATATTTCTCCCTGTTCAGGTAGAGTTCAGTTTATATATTTTGTAGGAAAAGTTAAGTTAAGGAAATTGAATACTTATCTCTTTGTGGAAAATGATTGCTTCCTAAGAATTTACATATTTATTTCCTCAGTGACCTAAAAACACCTTAGGATTTCCTGATCACATTATTGACAAGAAACAAATTGCTCCTTGATTTTTTTTCTTTAATGATAAGCCATCTATTTGACTTTTGTCTGATTTTTACAGTAGGTTGGCAGAGTAAAATGGCTTTTGTCTCCAGTAGACCCAAGCTCTTAGAAAGCAGAAATCATTTCTTATTTATCTAAAAGCACATAGTAGGCATTTCATTAAATGTTTGCTTTGTTCAGGAGACATTGATTAGAAACATTTCATATTTCATAATTTTTCCTGTCAAATAAATAACGATAATTGGAAATAAGCTTCTCTGCTTGTTTTCCTGGATTAAATGTTTTTTTTAACAGCTCATGCCATCTGTTTAGAATCAGTATTTCAGAGATGAGGAAGAAAGCATTTTGGGTGAGAAGTGATAACTATAAAGTACTTTATATACAACTGCCAAAAGTCATTTTCCATGCCCATTCCTTCCACAAGGCCATACCATTACTCATCTTGCTGAGTGCCCATGATTCCTCATTGTATGTGAATCAAATAAAGATGCTGACTTTTAGTGTTCTCTACCAGCTTATCCCATGGCTTAGTAACCTATTCAGTTATTTAATGAATGAACTTTCACTTTTATATTTTAATTGGTATATATCTTAGGACAGAGACAAGAGTTTATTAGGTACAGCCAAATTGCTATTTCGGTAAGATTTATGTTGTGGAAAATCAAGGAAAATTAACACTATTGACAAACACCAGGAGAAAAAAATCACATCTATTTAAAATGCAGTTCTTGCATATGAATGCAAATATATGTAAGCACATATATATATTCATTGTGGGGGTAGGATTTCAGATTTTATCTGGAGGTAAATTCTGACAAGGGAGTCTAACAAAATCTAGATTAAAAGGAAGTTGAATAAAATTCAAACCTTGGTTTTATAGGTTTAAGTGGGAAGTATTTTTATGGAAAGATAGTTAACAAACTTATTTAGCAAAATTAATTGTGTCTCTTGTAGATGTGCCCAAGATTTGTTTTATTAAATGAACATTCAGCAAAGTTGACTTTTTTGGAAGTATAGTTCCATAACTTAAAAAAAATTATTATTTAGAATAATTTTAGATTTACAGAAAAATTATGCAGGAAGTACAGAAAATTTCCATGTCTCCTGTTCTCCACCCCCCCCCAATTTCTTTGTTATTAATATCTTACATTAGACTGTTACATTTGTTACAATTGTTCAGTCAATATTAAGGCAGGCAATCTCTTTGGTAATTTTTACACCAAACTTTTGGGTAGCTAGTTGGTTGATGAGTTCTTCAGCCTTCTACACTTTTCCACAGCTTGATCTATGCTTCTCAGTGTTGTGTTTTTTTTTTTGTGTGTGTGTGTGTGTGTTTCTTTTTTAATTTATAACAGGAGGTTCAAACTTGTCATTGACTTCAAAATACTGAATAAATTCCTTCCATTGAGTTTCACTTGAGAACTGTTCACTATGAGATTCTTCTTCATTCTTCAGTTTACCTTTTCTGGAGCATTTTCTCTTTTCCTTCTGAATCTTGAAGTTTTCTGTTCAGAGTGTTTATTATGTAATTTTTAAAATTTATTCCACATATGTAAATGGAAAGAAGTTTATGGTTCATCTGTAGGGAAATCTGAGATAGCTGTTTCTGTAATAGTCCCATTGACATCCAGCTGGTGTGTGTGTGTGTGTGTGTGTGTGTGTGTGTGTGTGTGTGTGTACAGCTGGAGTTACAGCTCTCCATTAGACCTCCACTGATATTACTGATGTTTACCTGGCTGGGAGGAGTAGGAGTAGGAGTGCTTTGATTTCCCACACATGGCTTCCACTGATAGATATTAGAACATCTTGGTTCAGTTTGGAAAGGATGGAAATCTACTTTTTGTTTTTGGATTTGCCTGTCTTATTTTTCATGTAATGGAGTCTGTGGCATTTTTAAACTGATGACTTTCACTTAGCATAATGTTTTCAATGTTGTTGCATATATCAGTACTTTATTTCTTTTTATTGCCAAATAATATTCCATTGCATGGATGTGCCATGTTTTATTTCTCTATCAGTGATGAACATTGGATTGTTTCCTCTATGGCGGTTATAGGTAATGCTGCTGTGAACATTCACATTCAGGTTTCTGTGTGGATATGTTTTCAATTATCTTGGGTGTACATACCTAGAAGTGGGACTGCTGTGTTTAACATTTTGAGAACTCCCACTTCTTTTCTTTTTAAATATATTTTATTGATTTTGTACGAGAGGAAGAGAGAGAGATAGAGAGTTGGAAACATCGATGAGAGAGAGTCATCGATCAGCTGCCTCTTGCACACCCCCTACTGGGGATATGCCCACAACCAAGGTACATGCCCTTCACCAGAATCGAACCCGGGACTCTTCAGCCCCCAAGCCAGTGCTCTATCCATTAAGCCAAACCGGTTTCGGCCCCACTTCTTTTCTAATATTCATTTTTGTCTTACTGTGTTTTGTTGTTAGGAAAGGGTTGTTAGGTATTTTGTTGCGTCTTTTATGTTCTTAGAAAGAACTGTCCCCATACTTTAGATTTACTTATTCTCTTTTTCGTACATCTGTACTCTTTTCATTAAAATTATGGGTGCTTATAATTAAGTTATTGAATAGATAAATTAGATGAGTATTAAAGTGCTTTAAACCATTACTTATTTTGAAATATTATCAATGTATAATTATTCATAGCCATGACTTTCATATTAATAAATTTTTCTGTGCTTTTAATTATTTAGAAAAAAGAAAGTGAATGTCTGCAATTAAATATTTTGGTGCTTCGAAATGAACTGGAAAGACAAAAGAAAGCTTTGGGACAGGAGATGGCAATACTGCATAAGCAACAAATTGCATTACAGGACAAAGGTAAGTAAAAACACCTTGCAGATCGTCTTACCTCACATTTACACTTTCCTTTTTTTCATAGGCTCAAATTGTCATCTTTGTATAAACACGCTGATATAACTTAAAAACTTTTTTGAAGTATTTTGAAAAAACTTTTTTGGAAGTATTTTGAAGATTCATACAGAAAAATATACAAATGTATACACACACTCTATATTTCCTGATGCTCCCTTCAATTCTGTATATCTCAGCCAGACTAACTGCCACCTTGACTTACTATACCAAACATTGATTTTGCCTAATTTTGAACTTTATACAAATAGAATCACATAATATGTACATTTTATGTACTGGATTTACTTCAACATTTGTTTGTAAAATTCATTTCTACCTGCATGTAATACAGTCTTAGTTTTTTCTTACTGTCGGTAGTATTCCATTCTATGAATATGAATTTGTTCTTGCTTTTGGCATTTTAGTAATTTCCAGGCCTGGAGCAGCGGCTGCCAGGCTGGGAGCGGCCAGGCCCGGGGGAGCAGCCGGGTCGGGTGCGGCCAGGCCCGGAGCAGCGGCTGCCAGGCTGGGAGCGGCCAGGCCCGGGGGAGCAGGCGGGGCTGGTGCGGCCTGGCCCGGAGCAGCGGCTGCCAGGCTGGGAGCGGCCAGGCCCGGGGGAGCAGGCGGGGCTGGTGCGGCCAGGCCCGGAGCAGCGGCTGCCAGGCTGGGAGCGGCCAGGCCCGGGGGAGCAGGCGGGTCGGGTGCGGCCAGGCCTGGAGCAGCGGCGGCCAGGCTGGGAGCGGCCAGGCCCGGAGCAGCAGCAGCCAAGTCCAGAGCAACTAGGTCGGGAGCGGCAGTGACCAGACCCGGAGCAGCTGGTTGTGGAATGAACCAGACCAACAGAGGCCAGGCCCTGAGCAGCCAGGCCCAGAACAGCTCGCTCCTTGCCTGCCCCTGCCCCACGGCTGCTTCTCAGACATGGCTGGAAACTTTCGTGGGAACTTGAGGGTCTGCTGAATCAAGTGATGAAGGCTTAGATCTGGATGTGTTGAGTTAGTTTAGGACTGGGGTGTTGATCTGTGAGTGCCTTGGGTGGGGCCTGGATGAGGCTGGTTGACCTAGTGGGAAATGTCTTTTGTGTGAAGTGTATCATTGGGCATGTGGAGGTATTATTGATATGAGAAAATGCTAAGTAACTGATTTACTATCTGAAAAGGGATTTACTATTGGGGAAATTGAGGGAAGAAGAGACTGAACATAAACTGCACCTATGGATGAGTACAATGGGGGATGGGGGTGGGGGACGGAGGGTGGGGTGGGAACCTGTTGGAGGGGGGAAGAAATGAGGAACCTTTGCAATAATATGAACAATAAAGATTGATTTAAAAGAAAAATAAATAAAAAAAATAAATTAAAAAAAAAAATTTCTAGGTTAAGACTATTATAGATATTGTTTCCATGAATGTTATAGTCCATGTTTCTTAATGAAGGTTTTTTTGTTTGTTTTTGTTTTTGCATTTCTGTTGGATATAAACCTAGGATCAAGCTTTCTAAAGTGGTTGTGACAGTTTATCTCCTTTTAGTCCAGCAGTATATTGTCCTGTATCCTTGTCTCTTGTCAGCATCTGGGATCAGGCCTAAACAGGCAGTAGGACATCCCTCTCACAATTCAGGATTGCTCGCTCCCAACTGCTCCCCTTCCAGCCTGATTGCCCCTAACTGCCCTTCCCTACAGGCCTGGTCACTCCTAACTGCCCTCCCCTACAGGCTTGATTGCCCCCAACTGCCTTCCCTTGCCGGCCTGGTCCTTCCCAACTGCCCTCCCCTGTTCTCCATCTTCTGGCGGCCATCTTGTGTCCACATGGGGGTAGCCAACTTGTGTGTTGGAGTGATGGTCAATTTGCATATTACTCTTTTTTTCTATAAGATACCTTTATGTGAACTAATGTTCCATATTATCAGTTTTTGTGTTTTTTTAACAAGGCTTTTTTTGTGAATAATTTAGGAAATACTTGCCTATTTTAATGTCACAAAGATCTTCCTCTATGTCTTCTCTTAAGTGATTTACTATTGTACTTTTTACATGTATATCTGTAATTCATAAGGAATTGATTTTTTTTGTGTGTATGATGTAAGGTAAGAGTCAAGATTCATTTTTTTCATATAGTCACCACTTATTGAAAACCGTCTGTTCTCCATTGCATTGCAGTTTCACTTTTATCATAAATCAGGTGACCATGTACTGGCATGTCTAGTACAGAACCCTCTGTTCTAGTGCATTGAACTATTTTCCTATTCTTTTGCCATTATCTCAGTGTTTTAATTTCTCTCAAGTTATAATTGATCTTGCCATCAAAATTATTCTGCTTAGTTGTTCTTCTTTATTCTTATCCTTTTGCATTTTTATATGAATGTCTGCAGAGAAAAGAAAATCTTGCTAGGATTTTCCATAGGATTACGTTTAATATATTTACCAATCATTACATATGATTTACAATGAGTCTTCTAAAACCAGAAAATGGTATGTGCCTTTATTAGGTCTTCTTTGTAAAACACTGAAATTAACTAACTTTGGTATATGGATGTTTCCCATGATTTATTGAATTTATTTATTTTTTGATGTTTTATGATACTATTGTAAACATCTTTAAATTTTATTTTCTACTTGTTGCTGATATTTAGAAATACAACTGATTTTTTCAGTGGTAATGATTTTTATTTCATATACAAAGAAAAAATTCCCCAAAACTCTTAGGGACAAATTAACAATTGTTAATGTTAGGGTAATGGCCTTGCAGCTGCACCATTCACTCTGGTTATTTATATATTTACATTGTAAATCAATTATATTTATAATTAAATCTAGTATTTAATGAATCTTGAGCCAAGTTAAAATATTTTAAAAGCAATTGAGTCCCTGATATTGATAACATAAAAGAGAAAAATGTATTTTTCACTTGCTTTTGCAACATTAATGTAGTGTGTTTACTAGCCAGTAGTAAAATGGTTTGTTAATATGAATATTACTAATAACTTCTTAGTAAGACTGCTCTTTGGCATTTGGTGCTTATTTCGGCACTTGATTCTTAGCCCAAGAGCTCAATGAGGATACCAAGTCAGTAATACATGATATTTAATCTTTGCTACTGATTCTTCTGAATGACCATAAAGGAATTACATAACTACTGCATCTTTATACACATCTGTGCAGTAAGGATAGCAGCTCATAACAGTGCCATAGGGATTAATTTGTGTAAACATTTGGAAGAAACCAGGTGCCTGATATGTATTTTATGTTTTTGTTTATAAAATTCATTTCAGCAGGATGATTTATTGGAAAAAGCAAAAGAGATAATTTTTATTCATGCTGCTGAGTGGCCACATTACTCTGAGGGGCCTTGTTACTCCATACCCATAACTTCCTCATTCCCATACCTCAAAGGCAGTGGTTCACAACTTGTGGTCTACAGCAACTTCCAGCTGGGTCATGAGCTGAACTTTTCAATATTAATGTTTATTAATGTATATATTTTCATTTCTGGCAGATATTAGTAGTTTAGCTTATGGCATTTAATAAAAAACAGATTTCCCTTCATTAGTGTCCCAAGCTGGATAACCTTTACATTAAATAATTATATGTTGGTTTACAGGATCTTTTGCCCTAACTTAACCCCCAAATCTTTGGGAAGCAACAACACTTTATCTAAATTAGTTTGCTTGAAATTTGGTTTAGAAAATGGTAAGAAACATTGATCTTGAGGAAATGTGTTTAGTAAAACCTAAATACATTTTATAAATGATGATAAAATTCAAGAACTGAGGATAATGTGCCTGGGGAGTGATATTAACTTTTCAAAATTAGAATTCCCTAATCTTTGTAGGAAGAAGCTATTTTTAATGCAATTAGTTTCTTAATAGTAACAATTACATATGTAGTTCTTTATACTTAGAAAGTATTTATACAAAGATTACCATATTTGATCCTTAAAGCAACCCGGAAAGCTAAGTGTGGCAAATAGTGTTACTTTCATTTTATATATGAGATACTGAGATGGTAAGTGACTTGGCCAGCTACAGACAGACAGTTGGAAACCAAGTTGAGATGTAGATCTAGATTTTAGTCCCCAAATTCTGTGCTTTTCTCACTATTCCATACTATTTAAAGCCTTGCAGAATACATAAATCCTATGTAACTTTTATCAAGATATTATAATATGCCAGATATTTCACTTATGGGATATCATTTTGTTCTTAAGACAGTCCTAGAGATCATAACTTTTACGCCTTTTTTCCTGGGGTAAAGAACTGGGATTCAGAGACATTTTCTACAATCACACAAATAAATAGCAGGTCAAATTCAGATTTAGATTTCTCTGATTCCAAAATTTATCTTATTTCTACTAAGCATAATATCATTATCCCTTTCTCTAGTATGTGTCAAGCAAATAAACTAATGGTTTGCTAGTTTTCCATTTGGCCTATGGACTAACAGATGGAGAACTTGGTTCTGTGTGTTCCTTTTTATTACAGGATGGGTGAAATGAGTTTCCCAATGATTTTTTTTATTAGGTCATATCTTAATCAAAGGATTGGAATTAAAGATCTTTTCTCTCAGTCTGTCTTTAGATGAGTCATTCAACTTTTTTGGACCTATTTCCTTTTTACAAACCAAACAAAATTTGAAAATAAATAGTCAAGATTTCTTATTGCTCTGAGATTCTATTTGTCTCAGGAGGATAGGGGCAAGAAAAGATGGGGATTTGTTCACCTTTTTTATGAATTGAGTTAGTTGTCAAAGTAAGATTCTCTGACCCAAGTATATCTATAAATGTCATTTGTTCACTCGAAAGCCATTTGATGGACCCACCTCTTGAAATTCTGTAAACTAGCTATATTCAACTCCTGTTTTACAAATTCTTTAATTCATTTTGGTAAGCAAGCACAAAAACAAATACATTGTTTTAGTGACATTATGTGTAAAATATATAAGATTTCATTGCTCAGATTTGGAAAAAGCAGTTCTTCTT